GATTAAACAACAACTATATTACAAATTCTGATAATTATCAAAAGTAAAATCATATAGGAAATTTATCCAAATGAGATGGATTTTTAAATTAATGTATGTAATTATGGATATTAATTATTGCTCAAATGAGATAGGGTTCAGCATCTTATATATTAATTTATTTATTGACTGAAATAAACTATCTATAGATAGTATTATTTATCGCCATTTTATAATGTTTTCATTTTACCTCTATGCATCAAATTCCTCATTTATCAAAAGGAGGTAATGAGAGTACGTCTCTTTTGTAAGAGGGAATGTAAAAGGATGATAGGAGAAGAGAACCGTTGGGAAGAGTCCTCAGGTGGATCCATTTTAAGAAGTAGCACCTATGAAAGGTGGAGAACTGATGATATCTGCTGGCCCTTCAGAAGTCTGCTGGAGCAACATTTACCTCCTTCCTGGATCGGGATGAATTTCAATTTGAAGACACAAGATCCGTGGACTAACTTGAATTCAGATCTGATTTTACCTCCACTTGCTCCAAGAACCATTCACTTTACTATTCTCCACAAAGAGTGGCCACAAGGAATAACAAATTTTATCACCTCATAATTTAAACTTTATAGATATAACTTACAGTGGGGAAGGGAGAAGAGTTATTTCATTACCTGAACAACTAAAGAAAATATATATGACAGTGTTGCTAAGAATCTGCAGGGTTTTGTTTTTTTTTAAAGATTTTATTTATTTATTTTTAGAGAAAGGGGGAGGGAGGAAGAGAGGGGGGAGAAACATCACTGTGTGAGAGGGACATCAATCTGTTGCGTCTCTCATGCCCCAGCTGGGGACCCCACCTGAACCCCAGTCATGTGCCCCAACTGGGAATCGAACCAGCAACCCTTCAGTTCGCAGGCTGGCACTCAGTCCACTGAGCCACACCCCAGCCAAGTCAGAATTTGCAGGTTTGAAGGAAGAAACTCATAGCAGTGGTTGGAGATAAGGGTAAGGAAGAAAGTAATTTTTAACTACATATCCTTTGATACTTTTTGAATATTTTACCATGTACATAAAAAGACAAACAATGAAATCATCCAGAAATAATTAGTGTGAATATTGTATTTTCTATCAGTCTTTTCTTTGTTCCTATGATAAAGAGCTCTAAACTACAGTGTACCTCATACTATATAACAAAAATGAGCTCCTGATGCTTGATGATATATTAAATATGAAATATGAAAAAAGAAAGGAAATGGAATAAAACATAGGTGAAGAAACATTTCCAGGTGGTAGAGAAGTTTGTTTAATTTAATTTTATTTTATAACATAAACAATAGATGCAAAATGTAAAGAGACTGATCATTTCTAGTGTGTTTTATATTTTTCTTTCCATTACATTACACAAATGAGCAAAACCCAACAAAATAATTTTTTATTTAGTCAATTTTCCCAGTATCATTTTTGAAATATTCTTTCTCATTTCCAAATGAATTATGATGCTTTCTTTGCTCACTTAGTTGTTCTGTATACTGAGACCTACAGTATAGTGTTGTTCTAGCTAAGGGCTTATTTAAGTATCTACAGAAAAGATTGCACATTCACAGAAAAGATGGCACTTTTATGGGAAAGAGTTAAGGCAGAATACAAAGACACATAAAGTGTTAGATTACCTAAAAAAAATAGAAGCGAGAGAAGACAGAAAAACAGAATGTGGACATAAAGCGGTGCCTAAAATGAGGCTAAAAATAGATACACATACTAAACATGAGCCATAATTTTAGTTCTAAATGGTTTAGCCATCAGAGAAACAAAGCAACATAGTTTATTACATAATTAGCAACATACCTCTCCCACCAAGGGAACAGATTGTTTAGGACTAGGACTATATTGAGAACTAAGTTAAAAAACAATTCCCCCACAAGTACTAGTAAAAGCAGACCTTGTGATAACTGAAAAAAAAAAAAAACCCAAACCCATAAAGTTGATTGATACTTTGCCATGTTCTAATTTCTAGAACAATTTCTAGAAGGTATTCTATTTTGAAGATAATATTTTTTCCCCTTTGGTTATTGGATTTTCCTCCTCCTCCTTACTTTCCATGTTATTCCTTTTCCCTTGTTTCATCTTCCTCTTCTGCTGTTCCCCTTTCCTTTTCTTCTTCCACTAGGTTGTTGGCCATGAATCCTCCCCCAAGGTATTAAGGGTGTGAGTCTGTAAAGATTTTAAATTTGCTATCTTGGGGATTTTGATATAGATACTGTGCCTTCATTGAAAAAGAAAAACGGGTGTCTTCTTTCCTTTATTTTCTATGTCCTGGCACTATTGAATTATCATTAGAGAAATCTACTCATTGAAGATTTGTTCGACTAGACCTTGAAATCATCTAGGTCTCTTGTAGGAGGCAGGTGAGGAGTGATGGTGGCAAAATTAATATGGGTCTTTGACAACATCTCTGTTTCTTCCATATATTTGGTCTGTTCAGGTTTCTTCTATGATCAGTTTTGGTCATTATATTGTCCTAAAGAATCATTCAGTTTTCAAATTTAATTGCAAACATATCTTTCAAATTTCTTTTTACCTGCACTTATTTTCTCATTTTAATATCTTATTTCATATGTATTTGTGCTTTCCCCCCTCTTTTCTTTGTTTAGATTATTAGTTTCTCTATTTGACTGTTTGTTTCAAATCAGCAGTTTAATAATTCACTAATTTCTGACTTCGTAGTTATTCTGCTTAAATTAATGTGTTTTATTTCTCTTTTTGAGATTGATGCTTAATTCTTTTAATTTTTTTATTTATCAAAAAGTTTTTATTGTTATGCATTTAACCCAGAACCACCTTCAGCTTTTACTTTAGGTGCAAGTGATATGTGGTGTTTTCATTATTTTTATGCTTTATATATACCAAAATTATTATTTTGATTTCTCTGAGTCAAAAATCATTAAAGAGAGAAATTTTTTAAATTTTAGCTATGAAGTCTTTGTTTTTGCTCCTTTTTTCCTGGGCTTATTTATTACTCACCTATTTATTCCACCTTTTTCTGTTAATGTTGTCTGTACTTTAAATGTTTTGTAGTTGGGGTTTTTTGTGGCTTAATATATGCTGAATTTTTACAAATTGTCCATAGTCCCTTGTAAGTTGAATTTGTTCTCAGCATATAGAGTTTAACAATTTCAATCAGCTCACTCATTAATTAAGCTACTGTGGTCTTCTTCATGCTTATTATTATTTTTCTGTCTATTTAGCATGTCCTGATACGAGATAACTGAACTGAAAGTTCCTACTACCTTTGCATTTTTAATATTTCTTCTTTATTTCTTGTATTTTTCATTTATTCATTATCTCTGAGTTAAATTTTTGGTGTAAAGATATTTGTGATGTCATATCCTTGTTGAGGTTTGTTACATTTATCATTACAACGGTTATGTGTTAAATCATGCCCCCCCAATATATGTTGAAGTCCTTAATATAAGCACCTCAGAAAGTGATCATGTATGGAAATAAGGTCTTTGCAGATATATTCAAGCTAAGAAAAGGTCATAGGATGAACACTGATTCTATAGGACTGGTGTTCTTATAAAAAGGAGAATTTGATAGATGATAAAAGTTCTTTTCTGCCTCATGCCAGGGACCCTTAATGCAATTATTTCTAATATCGTCCTCATGCAGTCAAACATGGTTAGAACACTTGAAGAGATCCTAACCAAGAAATCCATGTTATAATCATATTCATAAAATTCTTCTCTAACAGATCATTCTGACGGATTTTGGAGGGGAAAAAAAAGATCAAAACCTTAGAAGAGAAAAGAGAGGCACATTCCCAGATGATTCAACATTCCTTGCAGATTTTATCAAAGCAGTTTTACTTATGTACTTCCAAATAAGTTTTAAAAATTGATTACTTTGAATTAAACAACATTAATTAGAAAAGAGCAATGTCTTTACCAATTATAAAAATGCAGAGGAAACTCTAGCTTACACGAGTCTACTTCTGTCATACCACCATCTGATGGCAGTATACCCTCAAATTACATTTTCTGATTTTTAATGTTTCAGATCAAAATCTACTACTGAAATGATGATCAGTGTAATATTCATTTATAGGGCATCTTGTTTTCCCAGACAATGGTATACAAAGATTTCCATGACATAATCTTTCCTCTCAAGGAGCTCACTGTGTACTGGGGAGAGAGGCATATGCCCTGATAATTTTAATAACAGTGTTTGATGCATGTTATAGAGCCTTAGAGATAGACTCTTAGCCTGATACAGAGATGAAGTCAGATTCCGCAAGGAGATGATGTCTGGATTGAGTTTTAATAGGTCTAAATTACCCAGATTAAAACATGAAGTAAAATGATAAATACAGGGTCTGGCACAAATAACGCCCCTTTTTATTACATAAAACTATTTTATTACAAAATCATAGCATGTAATTCTGTAACATAACAATACCACACTCAAATACACCATGTGACATTTTAGGTGAAATGTTCAAATTGCTGTCCATCTCATGAGAGACATTCATGTACTGTACCAACCACGCTCAATGACACTACTTCCACCAGATCCTGTATTATGAAAGGGCAGAAAATGACTAGTTTGTTTAAGGAAGAAAAGAGGCTATTATATTCAAAAGACTGGAAAATAGCTGTATACTTCAGGCCAGATAATCCACTAAACATCAAAATTTCTTGAACATTGGCTATATGCCATGCATCCACAAGAAGAACAAAATGTACACAAGCCTTTGCCCTAATATAGCTTTTCTTCTGGAGGACAGGCTGACAATCAATATAAAATATAATTCCAAGTAATTATATTCACTCCAAAGAAAAAACAAGGAAAACAATGGCGAAAGAAGGTAGACACAGAGATGGCATTGGGGAGATGGTGATGTTTTAGATGAGGCCATCAGAGAGCATTAGACACTTACATGCATGATAAAATTATATATACTGACTATCATCATGCTTATGGCTAAAGTCTGTTAGCAGGGATAACAATGAAAATGTACTTACCAACACTTGCCCCACAAAGGTCTGTGCCGAAAGTAACATTTCTATACGATCATGAAATACTCCATGGAGTTGGAGACTTTTTAAATGTTTAATACCAATACTCTTCGACAAGATTAGTTTCTATAAGCAAGAGAGAAGAATTGGGTATGAGCTGGACCTCAGAGAAAGTGATCTGTTGATAGATTCTCCTGCTGTGGTATCAATCAGAAATTACCCCACTTAGGCAGTCTAACCTACGGAACACTATTTCAAGAAATGCATTTTACTGAGTTTGCATTTGACTGGTCCTCTGCACAGCTTTTTAATGCTGAATTCCAGTCTCCATCATGCTTTTCTCACACACTCTTACTCCCAGACCCCTCAAATTGCCGTGAGTATAGTGATCAGGACTGAGAGCATCATGCTGCTTTCTGCTCTGGGAACAAAGGTCTTACCCTTTTCCATCAAGCAATGTGGACCAAAAAAAAAAAAAAAAAAAAAAAAAAAAAATTACAAATGGATTATTAGGTGATTACTTAAATATCTGCTTTATTAAGAGAAAAAGAAGGAAAGTTTTAGGTATTTGATGTTGCTTTTAGTTCCTTATCTAGTATCATAACCTGATGAAATTATAGTTTGCCGTTTCATTTGCCAAGTGCCTTTATTTGTTATATATGACATGTACCCCCTATGATATAGACAAAGTATAATTAAATCCATTTTATTTGATAAGGAAACTGAGGTGTGGGGAAATTAAATGACTTGCCCACAAGCAGGCAATCAAGAAAAGTGGAGTCTAAATTCACCTCCATGTCTGTTGCTAGTCTTGAACTACCACCGAGAAAAACAAGCAAATTAGGACTGACCACATCATGCTGCCTGGACCCTCTGACTTTTAGAAAAGTTCATTTTAGGCCGGGCCAGGGTTTTGAAATGACTTGATTTTTCTACTCATATTTTCTGAGTGGTAGGAAGAGAAATCTTAATAAATAACTACTGGATAGAGTTCATATCTTGATCAATGATTTGCCCTTTCATACCTGTGATTCATCATGTGCATTCCTGAGATGTTTGAGAATTGATTTTTTAAAAATATTCAATATGACATTAATATAGAACACTCATTTGAATTTCATTATAAAATTGGAGGTGCCTTCGGTGGAAAACAAATTGGCCCTAAGATATAATAAAATTATACTTACTAATGTAGTGAACCTTTTTAAAATGCACATTTAAGGAGAAAAATTATGACTTGCCAAATAATTTTTATAAGAACTTTTGACAGTACCCAGATTTGTGACATTTTTTACATTAGGCCAACTTTCCCAAAAGCTTAGAGAAAAAATATAGCACTCTCAATCTGTATTAGTATAACAAATTATTGAGAAGTCACTCAACTTTTATTGAAGTCTTCAAGCTTCAAGAGTAGAACAGTACAGTATTCTGGTTGCTTGGACCTCATTTCTTAACATTTTGAAACATTTGCTTCCTAATTAAAGGGCACTTCTGGACTGAAAGGTGGACAGGAACTACATCCAAAGCAAATATTTATGGACAAATGGATTCTCACATTTTGGTAACTACATGCAAATGAATATAATGGGGAAGAAGATACAGTTCCTGGAGCAGAAGTCTAAGATTAAATAATTCTGCCACCTGAATTGTGCATTGAAAATAGGAAAGAAGGCTAATTCATCATACCTATTGTATACTCTGTCAGTATTGTTAAGAAGTCAGTACCTAGAATTCTTTCCCCAATTTTTATGCCACTGCTTAAAGTCTTTAATCTAGAAATAATTAGTAATAATGTGAGCTTATTTTGCAACAAAATCTATGAATATCAATATTGGGTACTTCTTGAATGCAGAAACCTGAATTCCATATTATGAGATTGTCAGTTATAAGTTACCAAGCTATTATAAATTCTCTTATTTGTTGTCAATGTTTAGCAATGTTAAGAGAAATGTTTTAAGCCACCTTTCAATATTAATTATATTTGACAGATGAAATGTGTTCTGTTATCAAAATTACTATAATCAGAGAAACAAAGTTTAGGAAACAAAATTTAGAAACAAGCCACACAGCGCATAATAAAGCTCTTTGCCTTGGACCACTGGTAATAGAATAGCTGTTATGTAGCATTTGAGAGTTTTATTTTCAAGCTCTTATGCAACTCCTTATCTGGGTAATATACCACTATTCTCGTAGTCATCATTTGCCTGGTGTCATTCAACAACACCCACCCTAGGGAGACTTATCTCGGTATGAAAAGGTCCCTGCATTTGAGGCAGGGTGTCATGCATGCGTATGCATGGGTGTCCATGTGATAGGCACGTGCCACTTGGTGTGTTGCATTAACATGGTATAAAAAAGGCAGTGTACATATGTGCATGCATGTGCATCATGAATGATGGATTTCTGAAAGGTTGACTTTGGTGTTCCTTTTTGCCTCCCTCATAGGACCTAGCACAATTGTCATTTTAAAATTTAAAATAAAGGCATAAATATATCTGTGGTGGGTTTTTTGTTTTTTGATTTTTTTTTAGAAAAGCGATCTCTGTTTCCAGAGCGAGCATTCATTATCAGCCATACAAGACATTTCTCCCCCCCAGTTATAAGAGAGGAGGCCTGGCCCTATACACGAAGCCTTCAGAATAGCAGCCTGGGAGCTGGATTTTCAGCCTAAAGAGGATTGGCCCCTTTCTAAGGCACCAGATCAGAGCTGGCTCTGTTAGCCTGTGAACTGAGTGAAGCTGTCATCATTTTCTAAACACAAACACATGTCAAACCTGTCTCTGATTTTCATACAGTGGGATCCCAAATAAGGAAACTGACCAAGAGAATTCCTGTTCCCCTGACGTTTTTCCATCTCTTAATGGCCCTCCAGATTTGCCTGAAAAGGAGCAAGATGAGAAGTCCACTTAAGAAGGTCCCTAAGGAGGAAAGAATAAACGCGGCTTGGATCTCAGGTGTGCAGGATGTTTTCTGCAGTTCTTGCCCATTAACATTTCGTAGGTTGATTTGAAACATCAGTAAACTGACTGTCAGAATTCTATGATGTCACGGTCGCATGGTAATGATTCTAGGAATTAGAGTTCAGTGTATAAGAGTCTTAACACCGGGTGCAATACAATGAGTGGTTCTAAGAACATGGGTTGGCTAATCATTGAGGTGCTAACTCATAGGATGCAAAGCGATGAACAGAGGGGGAAAGCTGGCGCCCACAACAGGGGTCTTCAGATGATATGAATTCTCAGATTCTGCTATTTTCTACATGACCTTCCGGAATGTACATCCTTTGTGGCTATGGTCAACAGGCTCTCTCTTTGGTTGGTGTAGTCAAACGGTTTCAGAATAGCTCTTTTTGAATGAAATGACATCCAGCCATCTGTGTGTCAATGAGTTGATTCTTCATCTGAGCAAATACCACCTTCTCAGTAATCTTGGAAGGACAGATGAGAGAGGAACTTCAAGATTTTAGTTTATCCTTTCACTAAGAAAGGATTGCTATAGGGTAAAGGTATCATAGAAGACAATTTTCCCGGGGTGAACACGGGTCAATTGTTATTTGAACCTGAGACTCTGTTCCTTTTATTGCTTCTTTGTGGGACCTTCCCCTTTCTTGTTTTTATCTCTGCCCTGTCAGCAAGCCCTTTGGTTCAGCTGGGGTAAAGTTCAGAATGAGAGCAATTTCTTCTATTTTCTCTGATGTTTTCAAAGGTGTAAGAAATGTCATGCCTTTCAGTGTGTACAAGTGGCAGGAAAAATGTCAGAGCCTGAAGGGGGGTCTGGTTCCCCCCAGTTATTGTGAAGATGACCTGACATGAGGTGATGAGACTCAGGAGAAATTTTGTTGTCCTTTGCAGTCCACCATGATCTGCTTTGGGTGCAGACTCTTTCTAGAAGATAAATAGTTTTCCTAGAACTGCTGCCATTGTTATAGGTCCTTCCTTTAAGCTCGCATGTAATTTCCGCAAAATCCTGTCGTTAAGCTAGCTACCTAGCACAGGGCAGTGTTACAAGGGATTGTCTAGGACTTAAGAGCCCTGGGTTCTAGCCCCAGTTCTTACAGTAAGTTACTATGTGATGTTTAACAAGTCAGTTCTCATGGTCTTACTTTGTGTTGAAGATAACACTTTATTGATAAAATTATTGTGGGAATTCAGTAAGGTTTTATATAGAAAAACGTAAGACTCAATACAAGGAGAATTATTTGTTTCTTTTTGAATGGCATTGATGATAAAGAAAGGCGAAGGAAGGGAAGAAGAAAGGAAGGAAAGAAAAAATGAATAATGGGAGAGAAGGAAGAATTATTTGTTTATATTACACATAACACACACACAACTATAGCTATTTGGAAAATAAGATCAGTTTCCAAGTCAAAGTTCATTCAGATCATTTACTTGGTCTGATCACACTTAAGTCATGATTGAGCTATCATCATCAGAGAAAGTTTCTAATTTTCCTCATTTGCTCTTTAATGTTGTCATAGTATTACCAATTCTTTCCAAGATGCTATGTAGGCATTTTTTTCCTTTTTCTCTTTTCCCAGAAATTACCTTATAAGAACAAAAAAGATTTAATTCAATTTCAACAGACAGGTAGTTCGTCCCTCTAGTATTGTTATTGTTATATAATTAGCTTCTGTGGATGAGCCAAAAAATGCTTGAGTGGTTTCAAAGTCTGTCTCTCCAAATTCATCTTGAACCCGGGGTGTGCCGGCCATCCAGTTTCCTTGGGACCGTCCCAGGTTCAGTACTGGAAGCTCAGTGCCTGGGGAAACGCCTTGGTCCTGGGCAGACTGGGATTGCTGGTCACCTGCGCCCACACTTCGTCATCTCCACTGAGCTACAGCCACACTGCTTCCTCTTAGCTGCGAGAACACGCAAAGCCTTTACGGCTCAGGCCTTTATAACACAACTTTCCTGCTGCCTAGAACACATCCCTCAGAGCTGCTATTTTCAGGCCCCCATTTAAATGTCTCATTATGTCCTCCTGACTGTCCTACAGTACGGAGGGCCCTGACATGTGCCCCAGTGCTCTCTGGCATGGCACGTTGACCTTTCCTTCCCAGCACATCATAGCACTTAAAATTGTAATTATGTTATTTACTTGTCACCAGGTTCGTTTTCCTTCTTCCCTCATGAGCACAGATGCTCCATAAGCTCAGGGATCATACCTTTGGCATTCATAACCAAGTGAGTACCCCGTGTCTAGTAATAAACCTGTCACATACCTGGAAAATCACAGGGACTTAATTGTTGACGATTAAATGAATCAATTATAAATTCTTAAACATATTTGTTAGATAACATAATAACTATATGTGATGTCAGATGGGTATGAGACTTACCAGGGTGATCACCTTGTAAGGGATATAAATGTCTAATCACCGTGTTGTACACCTGACACTAATATAATTGTATGTCAACTGTAACTGAGAAATATATCTTTAATTTTAAAAATTAAAAAAAAATTGTTAGGTACAGGAAACACTGAATCTACATGGGTCTTAACCCAAGTTATCCATATTCTCTACTTTTCTTCCATCTCTCACTGCAGACTGTTCTCCTGAAGGAAGTCCCATCTGCCATGTGCATATGCACAGTGTGCAGTGTGTTTGTGATGTGTGTGTGTTTGTGTGTGTGTAGTAGACTGGCTATCTGATTTGGATCGAATGCCATTCAAAGTGTTATCTCTGCTGACAGGTTTGAATTTGATAACTTTTTCAGAGTTACTAAGTTATTTGGCACAGGAGACATGTGTGACTAGGGAAAAGCTGCCATTCGTAACTTGGTAGCAATTCAGTGTTCACAACATAAGAGGTAGACAACTTTGAAGCAACATTAGTTACCCTTCACAATAACTGAGAAAGCACTCTCCCTGTACTGGAGAGTTTAAAGAAACAAAAAATAATATCTACTTTGTTGGCTACCTACTGCAAGCAGAATCCTTGTCAGAGGTGTATATGTATGCATGAATGTGTGTATGTGCGTGCGCGTTGAGTACCTACTGGGTGCTGGGCACTGGAAGCACCCTGACAGGCAATACAGGTAGCCCAGGAGGACATTTACAATTAGAAACTGGGGGAGTGTTTGGGAGGAAAACATGTAATGGAAGAGGAACCTGACCTAGGTGAAGAGTCCACAGGCTATGCCATGTTTGAAGCTGAGGTCTAAAGCATGAGAAGCTTCCTAGGCCAGGACCCTTGGTGGGCTGGGGAAACTGGGGACACGTACTGTTAGACTGAGGGACTACCGTGGGCAAGGGCGGGAACGAAGTAGCACTCCAAAGAGGCGGTCGATGAAAAGCCATGATCCAAGAGAAGACGGGCTGCGCACGGAGAGAACCCGATCTTCCACGGCCTTGTGTGATGCTCATTGTCAAAGGATCAGCCTGGCTTCCCCTCAGAGAAGACCCTGGGCCAGAGTGAGAGGAGACTAGTTCAGTGAGTGTGTGGTGGGTGGGACGAGCGGGCGGGGCGAGCAAAGGCCTGGGGGACATGGGCGTGGGGACATGTCACAGCTGACTCTGCACATCTGGTCGGGACTTTTGGGTGGTTGTTGGAGACTTTCACTGCTGCCCTTTTAAAAACTAGATCTAAGAAATGAACAACACTATGCTACTGAAGATTTCTTTTTTTCAGATGAATTTTTTAACATGTCAATGATTTGATTAGAAAAATAGCTTCACTTCGTACACATCTCCATAATTTAGTTCTGGGCACTCAAATATTCTGGAAAAATTATACTTTGTAATGAGGTTGAACATATGTTTCATTTAAAAAATTTACTTTCTTCAAGAAATGTGCCGTAGTTGAAAAAGGAAAGAACTTCATTTTTTAAGTGTATATAGCAGCACTCATGAATATGTGTGTGTGTTCAATGCTTCTGAAAGTAGTAAATCATACTGTTATGTTATCTTTTAAGGGCCTATATCCATCTGTCACGCTTAATGGTATAACCCCGCTTTTTTCTGTTTCTATAAGCGGATGTTTGTTTCTTGTCACCAAAGAATACCCTCATCGTCAGTCAGACACCCTGGTAAGGACACACTGGGCCTCAGTTACGTCAGTGACAAGAGCCAGTTCTAAAGCTGAGAACGAAGGTGATTTTACTCCGCAGAACACTCACATCAGAGTGCAAGCACATCACGGGAAGCTGTTCCTTGGGTAATGTCTTCTTATCGATTTACTGTATCTATCACTTTGGGAATGTTATTTAAAGATTTTTGCCTCAGTTTCTCAAGGTGTTTACAGGAAGTTGTTTCAGTCACCAGGTCTCTACCTTTCATCTTCTTAATGTTTCACTTGTCGTTTAACTCCTCAAGTTCCATGGAATAAGACAAATTGTATATTAACCACTTTTAGAGAAAGCTTACTTTTGATAGAATATGATTTAATCCATATTCTTTTTAGATCCATGATTACTGAAATTCACCCTTTTGAAAAGGCACTGTGCTTTTTTTTCCCCACTTTATTGTTTACTGTTTTGTTTTGTTTTTTTCAAAATGGATAAACCACAGCAAGACGTTCCACCATGGTAAGCCCTTTAGTCCAGTACAATGTCTATGGTAGTTTGGTGGTTTTATTTTTAGAAACTGTCACTTCTGGAAAGGCTAATATTAAAAACAATGTAATTATATTTAAAATCCATACAGAAACCTTGAGTTTTGTTTTTATCTTCTTTTTCAAAGTTGTTGGTTTACTTCTGAAATACAAGTCTTTGGATGAGCTCCTTATGCTCCCCAATCTTCATTTTCTCATCAGTAAAATGCAGAGGCTGGTCTGGTATTTGGGATCCCTACCAGCTTTCATATACTATGAATCTTTGATTGTATAATCCCACTTTATGTCTTTAACAGATTATCATTTTTTAATAACCCAGTGTCTCATATTTCCCAGATGGGTTCTTTTGAAAAAAAATGAACAAAAAGGAGGAAGCCTCAATTCCAAGTGGCTTTTTTTTTCTTAAAAGGGTATTGTCTTGATAAGTTAACCTGAATTTCATCTTTGATCTCATGGAATTACT